AAAAAAAAAGATGAAGTCACACTAAACTTTCTTACACATGTCCTTATATACATGGACCAGAATTCTCAAGGATATAAGTAACTTCAATTTCTATTAGATACTTCCAAATTCTTCACTGAGGTGATTGTACCAATACAGACTCCTTGCAGGTTCAAATTCTATCAGGGCAAAATAAATGACCATCAAATCTACCCTCCCCCCAAAAATATAAACTCTGACTATCTAAAAAATTGAAGATATTCTGTAAAAGACATTGATACTTCAAAGAAAGGAATGATCTAAAATGTGTTTCCACTCCTTATGGCTTTTAATTTAAGAGATGCCACACATAGTGGCTATAGACTCCAACAGTATACTCAAAGACTCTTTGACTGACACAAAGCACATAGTTTAAAGTAAACATAACTGCCAAAAAGTGAAGGTATCAGATATGACAGAGAGCCAGAATGGAAGAGATACTAATTGTTTCTCTGCACAAATTTCTAGCTAATATCTGACCCACATATGTGCAGGGCTGCATATAAACAACAATAACTCAACTAGGGATAAAATAACTAAACCAAGTTTAAGCTACCACTTAAGAGTTATTTTGTATTTTATGTCTCATTAAATCAGTTATCTGCTTTAAAACAAATAAACTACAACCAAAAACACTTTGCAGAGAAAAATAACAGAATGCAGAGTCTCTATCACATAACATTTACAATGTCTCGAATACAATCCAAACTTACTAGAAATGTAAGAAACAGGAAGCCAGGTGTGGAGACTATAGTTCATCAGCTACTTGAGAGGCTCAGGTAAAAGAATAGCTTGAACCCATGAGTTCAAGAGCAGCCTTGGCAACAAAATGAGACTCTGTCTCAAAAAAAAGAGAAAAGGAATAAGAAGAAAAAAGGAAGGAAAAGGAGAGAAAAGAAATAGGAATTATGACCTATCTGACCCACTGACAAGAAAAAAGACAACAGAAAATGAATCCAAGGTGGCCTAGATGTTATAGTTAAGAGAGAAGAATTTTAAATTATATAATAATACTCAGCAGAGTTAAAAAAATATGTTCATAATGATTTAAAGATATGCATTGTCAACAGAGAAATCAAAATTTTAAAAAATTGGAAATTTTAGAACTTAAAAACAAATTTTGAAATTTAAAAATTCAGTGGATGGGATTAATGGCAGAAGAAAATAGAGAAATAGCAAGTAAATTTAAAGATAAATCAATAGAAATTATCCATTTGCAGAACAGAAAGGGGAAAAAATAAGACAGAATCAACAAAGTCTAGGGGCCCGTGAGATAACAGCAAAAGATCTAATGTATATTGTAATCACAGAAGGAAAGGATAAAAAGACCTGTCAGGAAGAAATTTTTTGAGGAAATAATGGCTAGAAAATCTCCAAAACTAATGAAAAAAAAAACTTGTAAAATTTTTTTAAAGGATGAACCCCCAAGAAGGATTAAAAAAATGCAGTTAAAATTAAGCCTCACATCACAATCCCTGGCTTCAAAATATAGTACAGAACTACAGTAACAAAAACTTCATAAAAACAGACAGACAAAAAGAACAGAATACAAAATATAGAGACAAACCCACACATCTAGAGTCAACTAATCTTTGACAGAGCGCCAAAAATATACACTGGAGAAAAGAGCCTTTTTAACAAATGGTGCTGAGAAAACTGGTGATCCCTATGTAGAAGAATGAAACTAGACCCTTATCTTTCACCCTGCACAAAAATTAACTCAAAATGAATCTCAGACCTAGGAATTAGACCAGAAAATATGCAATTCCAAGAAGAAAACTTAAGAGTCCACACTCCAGGATGTAGGTACAGACAATAGCTTTCTCAATAGGAGAAAATTTTCAGGAAATAATGTCAAGAGTTAATAAATCAGATGACAAAAAATTAAAAAACTTCTGTCCAGCAAAGTAAACAAGAATGTGAATAGAGAATTTACATAAAGGGAAAATATCTTTGCTAGCTACTCTTCTGACAGAAGATTAATATCTAGAACACATAAACAACTCAAAAGACTTAACACCAAGCTGGTCACAGTGACACACACTTGTAATCTCAGCAGCTCAGGAGGCTGAGGCAGGAGGATCACAGATTCAAAGCCAGCCTCAGAAACTTAGCAAGGTGCACTGATGTCACAATGAGCCATTGTGAGCAAGTGTCAAAGTGCAGGTATATAAGAGAGTGGCTTTGGCTGAGTTTTTGTCCACAAGTACAGGAAGCTCTTGGTGGTGACCTGTCGGACTCCCAGATAGTTAGCTCGTTTGGTGGTTGGTGGTTGGCGGTTGTTGGTGGTGGTCTTTCAATATTGGTTCTTTGATTTGGGTTTGTTGTTTTGTCTTGTATTTGTTTTTGATTTGGGTTTGTTGTTTTGTCCTGTTTTTGTTTTTGATTTGGGTTTGTTGTTTTAGTCTGTTATTTTTTTTTTTAAGCTAGAATCCTTAGTTGGTGTTCCTGCTTAGGATGGATAGCCAGAGTAGTGAGAGTAGTGGAGTGGGGCAGGGGCCTAGCTCCTGCAAGACTACAGTCCTGAGGGACCAGTATGAGGTCCTGAGGGACATTGGGCATGGTGGGTTTGGCCAGATCAAACTAGCCCGCCATTGCCTCACTGGGGCACAGGTGGCAGTGAAAGTCCTGCAGAAGAAAGGGCAGAGATTCCGGCTCCTCTCTGAATCGAATATAATGAAGAGCCTGGAGCATCCCAACGTGATCCAGTTATTTCAGGTCATTGAGACCCGAAAAAATATCTACCTGGTGATGGAGCACGCAGGTGGGGGCCAGCTATTGGACCAAGTCCCGCTGGGTGGCATGCAAGAGGAAGAAGCACGCAGACTGTTCCGGGAGGTAGTGTGTGCCGTAGCCTACTGCCATGACAAGGGCATGGTGCACCGAGACCTGAAGCCAAAGAACATCATGCTGGATGACAAAGGTCACATTAAACTTATCGATTTTGGCTTCAGCACCTGGGTCACACCAGGCCAGAGACTGAAGGAGTCCTGGGGCACTCTCTCACACATTGCTCCCGAAATTATCCAGAGGCGAACATATGAGGGCCCCCCAGTGGACATCTGGAGCCTGGGCGTCACTCTGTATTTTATGTTGACAGGGAAGCTCCCATTTATGGGATCCACCCGTAAGGAGACGATACGGCAGATTGTGCTGGGATTGTACCGTGACCCTCCCCACGTTTCTCTGGCAGCACGGATGCTCATTTACCAAATGCTGACCCTGGACCCCAGGAAGCGGCCCACAGCCAAGCAGATCCTTCAGCACATATGGCTGATGCTGGGTGAGCGGCATTTAACCCCTCATTATCATGAGGCACTCCTCAAACAGCCAGACCCAGAAATACTGACCATAATGTTTGATATGGGTTATGATCTACGCAAGACCTGGATGTCCCTGGCCAAGAGAAAGTTCAATGCGGCCATGGCTACCTACCTTCTGCTCCAGCACCAGAAAAGCCAGGGGCAGGGCTTCATGTTCCAGGGAAAGCCTGTGCCTCCCTTGGTTAAGCCTCAGCCATGCCTCCTGGATCCTTCCCATTCCCCTGTCCTCCCAATAAGGAGCCCTAGTGAACCTGCCCTTCGCACCTTTTCCTTGCCCTGTGAGCTTCCTCTGCCTGAGGAGGCCAAATGCTCAGGGCAGAAGCACATCAGGACTGCCAGCCAGCCGCCTATTCACTTCCATTTCCCGCCTGCAAGAGCCCCAACACCTGGGTTAGCCTCCCAGTCTGACTCTGGACAACTCCACGCCAGCAGAAAGCTCTGGAAGAGGGTAACTAGGGGGATTGCTACCTGTGTCCGACAACTGTGCTGTTGCATACCACGTGTCAGCAATGGGGTGGCTCCAATGTAAGAGCAGAAACCTGTCAGATTCATGAAGTGACGCTCCAATGGAGGGGAGAGCTGACCAGACAATACCAGGGGGCATCCAGAGGACCCTGTTCTCTGTGGATCCTGACACCTTGTTTGGGGCCTCAATCCTCAATCAAGTGGACTCTAAACAGCTGCAGGAGAAGATGTGCCAACTACCTCAGGTGTCTCTGCATGGGTTCCAGCCCAGAGCACTTCTGCATCCACCTGGACATCAGGAGTCCCCTCTTCCCCCACCTGCAGAAGACATCAGAGATGGCTCCCCTGGGACACTCCCCCTGCACTGCTCCTCTGTCCTTTCTCCCATTCTCCTGAGGCATTTCTTAATAAATATTTTTCAAATTTTGTAATAAAAGTATTGTTCAAAAAAAAAAGAAACTTAGAGTCTTGCTGAGTTGCTTAGGCCCTTGCTATCTATAAACTAAAATATTTTTAAAAATGCTGGGGATATAGCTCAGTGGTTAAGTGCCCCTGGGTTCAATCCCCAGAACTAAAAAAAAAAAAAACCAAAAAAACAAAAAAAAACAAATGACCCAATTAATAAATGGACAAATAAATTAAACATATCTCTTAAAAGAATAAATACAAATGACCAACAAATATATGAAAAATGTTCCACATCATTAGCTATTAGGGAAATTCAAATTTTCAAATCAAAACTATACTGAGATATCAACTCATACCTGTCAGAATGGCAGTCAGCGGGAATACAAACAAAAGGGCTAGGGGTTGTGGCTCAATGGTAGAGCACTTGTCTCGCACATGTGAGGCACTGGGTTTGATCCTCAGCACCATATTAAAAAGAATAAACAGAATAAAGTTTTAAAAAGAGGATAAAATAATAAAAAAATGCGGGAGAGGGGATGAAGAAAAAAAGAACTCTTTTTTACAGTTCATAGGACTATAAATTGGTACAACCACTCTGAAAATAAGTATGGAGTTTCCTCAAAAGACTAAGCATGGAACAACTATATGATCCAGCTATACCAGTCCTCCATATTTATCCAAAAGAATTAAAGTCATCATACTACAGTGATACATGTATACCCACGTTTCTAGTACCACAATTCTCATTAGTCAAACTATGGAACCAGCCTAGGTGTTCATCAATGGATGAGTGGATAAAGAAAATATTGTTTATATACACAATGGAGTTTTATTCAGCTATAAATAAAAAATAATGTCATTTACAGGAAAACAGATGGAACTAGAGACCATTGTGTTAAGCAAAATAGGCCAAACTCAGAAAGTCAACAGTCGAATGTTTTCTCTTGTATGTAGAAACTAGAGAATAAAAAGCAAAAGAAAGGTGGGAGGTGGAATTGGGATCTAATGAAAAAAAATCAATGGGAGATCAGTAGAGGAAAGGTATCGGGGAATGAGGGGAGAGGAAGACAGGGGAAATGTTGGGGAGTGATACTGGCCAAGTTATATTGTTATATTGTGTACATGTATGGATATGTAACAAAAATTCCATCTGTAGGTACAACTACAATAATGCACCAGTAAAAAATATGGACAGGAAAGAAAAAGAAAGAAAATCAAGACTCATCACATCAGATTCAAACTACTAAAACCAAATATAAAATAAGAAATCTTGGAAGCAACCAGCTAAAAACAACACTCATTACTTGCAAGGGAACATCAATTCAAACTAACACTGACTTCAAATCAGAAATAATGGAGATCAGAAGACAATGAGCTAAATCTCTAAAGTGCTAAAGGGAAAAAACAAAAGTGTCAGAGCTGTAGTCATACCAAGAAATGCCCTTCAGAAAGACATTAGACTTAGACATTTATTAAAAGACATAGACATTTCAGATAGAGGAAAACTAAGGGGATTTGTCATCTGCAGACTCTCATTACAAGAAATGCTGAAGGAAGTTCTTCAATCCGAAAAAAATATAATACCAGGTGGAAAGGTAGCTCTTCTCCCAGTCTTTGGCTTATTTTTATGTTGTTTATGGAATTTTGTTGAAGAGGTTTAAAATGTAAATGTAGTTGAGTTTATCAATATTTGTCATTATAGTTTTTGCTTTTTATATTTTAAGAAATCTATTGATATCTCTGTAAAAATATTATTATATTTCATTCTTCAAGTTTTCAAGTTTTACTTTTCATATTTGAGTGTTTGTTTCAACTTAAATCTATTTTTGTGTATGATATGACTTGAGTTTACTTTTTCCCCATGGATAAGTAACATTTTTACCATTGATTAAATTCCTCCTCAACCCAATTTATAATTCCACAACAACTTTGTCACAAATCAACTTTATACTTTTGCATAAAGCATGCCAGCTCTCAACTCTGATCAGTGGGTCTATTTGTATATCCCTGTCTTAGTAACAATAGCTATACAATGTGTCTTCATAGAGCAAGTCCTATGCTTGCTCCTGTCTTTCAAATTTGTCTTACTGTTCTTGTTGGGCCTACCACGTGAATTTTAGAACAAGCATCTAATTACATGAAAACTGTGTTCCAATTTTTATTGGAATTGCATTGAATTAATAGGCTAATTTCAAGATAATATCTTGAGAGTTCTCATCTATGAACATGATTTCTCTTTTCAAACATCTAATTTTTCAATGCTATACTGTACCTTTTCTATGTAAGGGTCCTAAATATCTTTTGTTACATTTATTTCCAAATATATTACATTTTTATGCTATTTTGAATGGAATGTCTTTTCATATTACATTTTCTAATAAACTATGGAAATATAAAAAGGATATTGATTTTCAGATTGATTCTATGGCCAGAAACCTTGTTAACTTTTCTTATCACTTCTAATACTTTGTAGATTTTCTCAAATGTTCTAGAGACAAATTTGATATCCACAAATGAGAGTTTTGACTCTCACTTCCTGAATATTATAATTTTTTCTTTTTTTTTTTTTTTTGTAACAGGGATTGAACCCAGGGGTACTTAACCACTGAGCCACATCCTTGGCCCTTTTTTAAAATATTTTATTAGAGAAGGGTCTCACTGAGTTGCTTAGGGCCTCCCTAAGTTGGTAAGGCTAGGTTTGAACTCACAATCCTTCCTGCCTGAGCCTCGAGATCATTGGGTTTACATTGCATAGGATTGTTGCAGATGAAGACAGCCACCCATGGGGCCAAAGTAGCTGCCGAAATTCTCAATCACTGGTTCTTGCAATCTTGCAGGAAAATTTTCAGGTAAGTCACACATAGCAGGCAGGAATTTATTTAGGAAAGGAGAATAAGAGAGAGAAGTTTACAATAAAGGTGCTGAATAGTCTAGAATATCTCCAAAGAGAACAGCATGGCCCTTACAGAACTGGGGACTTTTAAAGGGTTTGAGTTTCTTTGTCCTCATTCTATTCTCTTGTACCCCTTAAGCAGTTGATTATCACTTGGTATAGCCATCAGTGTGTTTGCTACATGAGTGTCATGATGACCAAGTCATAAAGGGTAGTTGTGACATGGTTTTGGTGATAAGGAAAGATCCTAGAAACCCGGTCACAAGAAATAGTGGTGACGTGGTCTGAAACGGGTAGGTTCTTAAAGAATTATAACTATGATTAGGGAAAGTTCTGACATACCAGGCCCCATTTTCTGGAAGCTCATCTTCTTTGACAAGTTTCCCAAGATTTCAAGTAATAATTCCATCAAGGAATTATAACTACTTAGGTTGGAGAAGGCTGGACGTTTTGGCTCTTATTTTCCAAATGTTTGCCTATCCAATAGAGCTCCATGGGATCTCAGATACATGACTCATAGATTTTCTTAATACAAATGTCTAATGTCTGCCCTTCATTGTTGTTTCTCCTACCCATCTATTCATGGCTGACTAACCTACCTAACAGGGTCTCCAAAATAATGATGAATAAAAACATCAGAGCAGATCTTTTCCTTATTCCTAATTTTAATAATAATGCTTTTAAAATTCATCATAATTTTATTTTATATTTATTGTAGAACCTTTTTACAAATGTACTTGAGGAAATTTCCTCCTATCATATATATCTAAGTTTTTGTTTTTGTTTTGTTTTGTTTTGTTTTTGTAGTAGGGATTGAACTCAGGGCCACTTGACCACTGAGCCACATCCCCATCCCTATTTTGTATTTTATTTAGAGACAGGGTCTCACAGAGTTGTTTAGTGCCTCACTGTTGCAGAGGCTGGCTTTGAAATCACAATCCTCCTGCCCCAGCCTCTGAGCTGCTGGGATTACAGGCATACACCATGGTGCCCAGCCTATCTAATAATTTTTAATAATGAAAATTTATCAAATTTTTAATAAAGATTTTATTGATCAGATAGGAAGAGAGTTAACATATACACTCCTCATACATACACACATAGTTTATTAATAATATCTTACATTAGTGTGTACATTTATTAGAATTTAGTTACTATTGATACAGCATTAACTAAAGTCTGCAATTTACTTTAAGCTTCACACTGTTACACTATTCTAGTGTTGAGTCAGTCAGAGGCATTATTTATTTCTGTTATGGTATTTTATTTCTAGCCTTTCTTTTTTATTCTTTTGTAGCTACCATCTCTCAGTTTATATTATCCATTTCTTCCATTAGACCCCTTAGCACATTATTCATAGTTATTTTCAATTCCAAATCTGATAATTCCAAATTTTCTGTCATTTCTAAATCTAATGCTTTCTTTATCTTTTCAGAATATTTTTTCTTGTCTTTTAGCATGCTTCTGTGGTTTGAATATAGAGAATGTCCTTCAGAGGTCAGGCTTTGTCCACAGATGATACTCTTGGGATGTGCTGTGGCCTCCAAAGATCTATATGTTAAAGGCTTGGTCTTCAAGTGATGCCACTGGGAGATACTGTGGACCTTTAGGAGGTAGGGCCTTATGGGAAGTCCATAGGTCATCAGGGTTGTGCCCTCAAAGAGAACTGTGGAACCAGTCTTGTAGTCTCTCTCTATTTTCTGGCTTGTGACGTGAATGGTTTGTTTTGACATGCACTTTCTGTCATCCAGGGCACTTTAACAGAGGCCCAAATCAATGGGGCTGACCAATCTTGAACTAGAACCTCTAGGACAATGAGCTAAATAAACCTTTTCTTTTTATAAGGTAATTGCCTCAGCAATTTTGTTCTAGTAAAACAAATCT